TCTTTATAATTCTTTTTTTGGAAAAGTTGAAAAGATTCTGCAGTTCACTACTTTGTGGCAGTTATTTCCCAGCCCTTGCAGAAGACCAGATGTGTCTGGTTCCGATTGCTCTTTAGCTATGTCTCTTCTGCTTTTTCTTGGACTTTGTTAGCGCTCTTTACAGCTGAGCTGGGTGTTAAGATGCTTCCAGCAATAGCAAAATAAATTGTTTCTGAGAAATGGTTACAAATCTGACAGTACAGTTCAGATTTTATGCTACTGTCTCCAAACTTACTTGTGATGCAGCTAAGCTGATAAAAGTTGTGATGTGAAAGTACTGGATAGCATTTGCTTAAGCACAATCTGAGGTTGAATCAAATAAGAATTTCCTCTTTCAGATATTATTCTTTTGTTTGTCACCAAAAGAAATAGCAAACGTTGGGTCTTTCAGACAATGTGTTAAACGTCCTTTTAGAAAATAATGTAAGTTTTCTTTCATCTCTAAAAGTTGGCTTTGGCTGTCTAAAGGAGGGCAGGAGGCAATGAAGTGGCCCTACATGCTCTGCTCTTGTGCAGCAGGTCACTGGGCAGACTGCCTTGGTGCAGATTGCCCTATAGCAGTAGTGTGCTGGGGGCTGATGTGGTGCTATTGCTGATCTGTGTCACTCTTGGCAGTGGTGGTTGTTTTTCCTTTGAAGTTAAATGATCACAAGATAAGACAGAAATAAGCCTGGAAGAAAAAAGAAATTTTATTATTTTAATGAATCACTATTAAAATATTTTCAGACACTTATACTTAAGTTTATACAATGATTTTCACTCATGCAACTTATGAACACACAATAGTTATGTAGAAATTGCTGTCAAAGAGAAAGTAAAGAATAGCTTACTAAGAAACCTAACGAAGCAGTTGAATTCAATAACAAGCAGTTTATTGAAACCAAATAGTGTAATATCTGTGGGAGGTATGTTGTAAAAAGGTTGTTTTTTTCTTTACCAGAAAGAGGCAAAACATCCAGCTGCATCAAGATTGAAGCTGTAACTCACTTAATATAATTGGCCATGGGGGATGATGAATGTATTTATCTTCAGTTTCATTCGTCTTAAATAGTTTGCAGTCCTTGAAATGTATACGAATGTACTGAATATACATTTGCTGCATGGATAAAACTACTCTGAAGCAGTATCTATGTATCTAGGCATCCCAAAATAAGCTTGCTTGTAGTTAAAATATATATATTTTTTTAATTCTGGGTAGAACAGTTAATAACAGGGCATTGTGGTTCCTATGGGATTCTGTGTGCTATCTCAAATGCATGCCTGGAAGGGTTGACACCACGATTGAAGCAGCTCACTTCAGTCTACATTGAAAACAGAAAACTTCCCCTGCCTCCCTCCAGTCATCCTGAAGTGTTAATTCCATTACTTGCCAGGATTGTAGCAGACAGAGCAATGGGCACTTTTCTGTGGTAGAGGGTCTTGCGAGGGCAAAACTGCAGTCTCCCTTATGTTACATCTGATCTGTCAAGACTTCTACTACACCCTTTTCAAATGTAAGCAAGAAGCATCTTGCTGCAGCTAAGGGCAAGCAAAGTAATCGTTGGTCGATAAGACATATGATACTCCTCAATCTGGAGACAGCTGACACTTAAAAAGAATTCAGGTGGTTTTGGAAAAGATGATAAAGCTAGGGAGATGCTGAGGTTTAGCTTAGGTATAATTTAACCACAGGTAAAAACTTTCAATTTTACTGATTCTTCAGTGAAAGCAGACAAATGAGGTTTGTTTTAGTAACAGTACTCTAATGAATAAATACACAAGCACCATAGATATATGTGCATTTAAATACGCACATCTTTGAATTACTTTCAGAGCATCTCATATTTAATGCTAACTGCCTTGGAATGTTTTATGTTTTTAATTTGTGCTTGTCTTTTGAGAATGAATCGCAAAATATTAGCGTGACAGTTTCTCATTTTTCAATAATGATGGTGGTATTTGTGACCATCAAGCTAATATACTATTAAAGCATGCCATTCATGGCTAACATGCTTATAGTACCACAGTGGCAATGGGAGAACAAACATCTGTATCTCCTAAATACCCAGAATGGGAAAGAAAGGATCATCCTGTACTATGTCTATGTACTATCCTGTACTATGGTCTAAATTTTCTTGGTTTCCAGGGACTCTAAGATTGTCTCTGTAGCACCTAAAGACAATCAAGACATGATCTTTCAAGACAAATCACAAACCCTTTTAGTGATCATTCTGTACCATTGCTGCACTTTTTGGGAATGCCATTATGTCCTTAATATTCAAAAGCAGAGGAAGAAGGGGAAAGAAGAAGAGGGGAAAAAAATTAGTAGGAGTAGGGTAGATTTAAACCTAACACTTAAAAAAACCCATAATCTTCTATTATGAAAGAACCCTATAAGTGGATGTAAGGAGTACACTTAGAAAGAGTTGATAATGCCTGCTGGTAATTACTGCTTTGCTGCACTTCCCAGTAAGATCTGCCACTGGGAATCTCTGGGCTGATTATTCTGTCCCTCCTAGTAGAGCTTTACTGCAGGACTCCTGTTCTCTGTCACTAAAGGTCCACTGATTTGTCTGTTGTCCTGTCAAGAACAGCTCTTCACACAAAAATAAGTGGAGCAGATAACCTGGGAAAGACTCTGCATGGTGGCAGTATTCAACATTAGAGACTTGTGGGTTTTGCTGGTTGGTTAATTTTTTTTGGCAAAATCAGTAGAAAGCTAGAATAAATTCTATACAGATGTCCCTCAACTGGAATATCTAGTGAATGTGAATTTGGGGAATCAAAAAAACATAATGCAACATAAGGAGGAAAAACTATTATTGCCCTCTCATTTACTCCTAGGGTGTCAGATGAAAGCTGTCGTTTTTAGGTATGATGTTGTATGAATTCCTGCTTGAATATTTGGGAAGATTGGGAAACCTAAGTAAGTTACTTTGGTTTTATGCATGTTTCTTTTTTCCTTGGCCAGTTTCTAGTTTAAAATGCATGCCGTTCATGTGACAGCTAGCAATCCCATTTCTGAATCTTTCTATACTTTCTGAAGGCTTCTTAAACTAGCGAACAAAGTAACTGTTGGTTTCCCTATCACATAGCAAAGCATGTCATACATCTTCATCTTCTATGTTCATCAACAAGGATAGAAAGCTTAGAACAGCAGTTTGCTTTATTTTTTTGCAGATGGAATAATGTCAATACTTTAAAAAGTATTAAAAAGTTCTCATGATTATTGTTGCCTTTCTGTGAAGTAACTTTGATTTTTTTAAAGCAGAGATAAAAAAAAAAAAAAAAGAACAATTAGGAGGAAGAGAAATTAAAATTGTTTCAAAGTTGTGCATGCACACATGACTGTTCTTAAAACTTGTCTGCTAAAACTTCTTTAAATTTTGGCTATTGACCAGTAGACTTTAATCTCTAACATAAAACTACCAGAATACAGTATTTAAGAATTAGATTACTCAGCAGCTTACTATAAGCTAAATTATTCTTTAGTAGGCTGAAAATCAAATAGACTTGAACAGTATTACCCATGCCACAGAATTAGTATGTCAGAAACAAGCTGTTGGGGGGTTGAGTCTAGATGGGATGAAAACTAGCCTGATTACTTTTGGAGAGAATGAATATGAGGTAAAAAGTAATGTGCAATTATTTATATATTTTTAAGCTAAAATATGTATTTTATCATCCCTGCTCTGCTATTTCCATTGTACTTCAGTGAGTTCTGGTGTAGTGGGCAGAACTGGTGTTGGACTAGATGATCTGAGGTCTTTTCAAACTGTAATGATTCTATGTAGAATAACCGCAAATGTTAAACATGAATATTTCTGTTTCTCTTCCTTTTTTGGAAACTCTACCTGGGTTTCCAAACGCTGGCTGTTTTTTTTTTGTGTGTGTCTGTGGGTTTTTTTTGTTTGTTTGTTTTCCTTCAAAAAGGAAAAAAAGTTTAAAATAGTCTGCAGGTAAAAATGTGCATCAAAGTGTGACAACTTTGAAATTATTTTGTTTCTTCCTTCCTTAGCGAGCCTATTTTGCTTGAATTATGTTCTTACTGTTACCTGAGAACTCTTGAAGAAGTTTGTTTTTTTTCACTTAACTGAGAGCAACTCGATATTTCTTGGCTGTTCTTCCGTTTGAACAATCTAAAGGCTATGACTTCAATTCCAACAACTAAATTGCATAGCAATAATCTTTTATAGGCATTTTTCTGAACTTCACATTCTCTTGATTTTAATGCCTTGTGCAATTTCTCAATTTTACATAATTCCCCTCTTCATGTTTGAATTTCCCCAGCTTTTTCTGCAGTTAACTTTGTTCTCACTTTGTGTTGCTATCACTGTTAGTGACTTAATTTTTAAATTCATGTAGATATGTTGCTATCTACACGGTCCTATGTCATGACAGTAGCCCATCTACTCTTTTCCTTCATTAAGGATGTTTGCTGTGAGAAGTTCAGTATGACCTTTGGTGGAAATATTTTGTGCCTGGCTTTACTATCAGGTCAGAAGGAAATATTTGAAGTTAGCTTTGCCTGTTCCTTAAAAATAAATAAAATTCTGGAGTATTTTGCTGGATGCAGGTACATCTTTTCGATCATTTTTTTAATATAAAACCTCTCTGTATTTATGGGATGATAGGATGCTGTGAAAGTGTGCTTATCAAATACTGTTCCATCTTATGATATATGCTCTTTTACCCAAAGGCTACTGAAAATATAGTGTGATGTATTGAAGGATCAGCATTTATTTGTGCTTTTATATACACCTACTTAGATATGCGGGCAAAGGTATTCTGCATTTTTGTCCTTTCATAAGATACCCCCAAATACTCTTCTTAATTCTTTGTTGATGAGTATTATTGTAGAAATGCCTTTTGGATTTAAAACAAAGAGGCAACGATTGCTGAAATTTGAATGATGTTGCAGGTGAGCCATTAGATCATGGCTTGAACTGGTGATTGAGCACCTGGTGAAGGGGTGAGGCTGACCCAGGGAGCACGGGCAAATTGTTTGCACCTGTGCTCCCCCGGTGACCAGAAGGGGTGAACCAATGGTGGAGCCCCATTGGGCTCATATAAGGGCTGGTCACTGAAGAGGCTGCCTCCTGAGGAAGAGTGCTGCGTAGTCAGAGGTCTTCACCAGTTGGGTGAGTTCAAATCTTCTTTCTGTATGATCTACTTGTGAATACTTTGACTGGTATTTTCAGGAGCCTGTCAGAAGTAATTGCACTTCTTCATGAGCAGAACAGAGAACCATCCTTGCATTGTCTGTTTCATTATTATATATCAGACTAAACTACAACCTAGTGTTCCTAATGAATGCTGTTGCTTTGAGTGCTTTTGCTCTTTTAAATATGAATTTGGATGCAAATAGTTTAGGTGTTTTATTGTTGCACAATAAAGGGCAAGGCAGTTTTTGCAACTCTGAATATAGCTGCAAAATACTTAAATAATCCTGTGCTTAGAAAGGAGAAAATCCAAGAATAATTTCAAAATACAGTCACGACTCACTGTATTCTGAATGTAGCTTGCTCATATTTTTGGCTTCTTATGGACGCTGATGTCAATGGTAGGAAAGCCACAGTCTTGCTGTATGTTCCACACAGGTGAAAATGCACTGGAAATGACTTGTGTTAGGCGTTCCCTCTGTGCATGTCCTGTTTTATTTACCGAAAAGTGCTGATGTCAAGCAGTGTAACACAAGTGTAGAATTTCTGGAGAAGCAGAATGGTTTTAATTAGGATTATTTTCCTGTTCTAACCTGAAATGTTTGAGATATATTCACATTAGGAAATGTAACCTTATCATTAGGGTCTTCTAGCACGTAAGCTGTGGCTGTGTGTGCAACAAGTGGCCAGAGGGTGCATCTAATTACATACTGTCATACAAGTAATCTTAGGAGCAGTTTGGTCTACTAGTTATTATCTTCAGGGGTGTTCAGAACAATTTCCAAAGGCCTCAAGAAAAGCTTGAATTAAATACTGTCTCTCAGGAGAAAACCATTAGTATTTCAAGAGGATTTTCAATAGCCTTTTGGATAGATTGTTTTCTGCTTGAGACCAGAAATGGGAAACCATATGATGTAATTGTTGTAGGATAAAGTGTGGAAAACTGTTTGTGTTGGCCAGCTGGGTTTTGGGCTAACTCGTCTACATTCTTTTGCAGATTGCTTGCTATTAGGCTAAACTTTTTCTATCTACCTACTGTAGGAAGTACACCACGTAGAGTAAATTTTCTGTGCATTTCTAAATTTGAGCACTTTTTAAGCTTCTTAACACTGAAACTTTTTAGAATCATGGTGTTTTATATCAGTATTTCTCCAAAGAAGCAGTAGAAGAGAGAATTGTCTCAGCCTACTGTTGCCCTTGAATTTCCTGATCAGATGCTTCTACAGATGTTCTGGCGACAAGAGAACTTCTGCCATTTTCCCAAAGTTCTCAGCTTGGCAGGCTTGGATTGATCTGCTATCTGAGACAGTCTATTGTGAAATTGTTTTCAGTTAAACAGGGACAGTGTCAGCCGAAAAGCAGGCCAGAATCTCTCTTTCACATTGTGTCTGCAGAGTGATAGGTGAACTGAAATTTCAGAGGAATAAAAACAAATGGACTTTTCAAAGTGATGTGGATGGACGTCTGCCATACTTCTGTACTGGAGGCAGAAAGGTATGGGAGACTGTAAGAAGGAAGAAAATACATATTTCACCTTTTGGTTCATAGTAACCTCACATGGCATATGCCTGAGAGCGAGACTAGTGCTGTCTCTGCAGGTTACATGTGGGGAGAGAATACAGATTCTGAAAGGAAGATAACGCTGGGTGATTGGATGACATGACTACAGAAAGTGTTAAGCCTTGGGAACCTACTGGGAAAGTCCTTACACAGTGGACTTCCCAAAGAAGCTGTGCTGAGGCTGGCTTTGAAGGCTTTTGTTCTAAACTTGTGCATCTATAGTTTGGCCTATTTCACTGCCGTAAGTTTGCTTCTCATTCTGGAGAGTCCATTGCACTGACACAAAAACATGTTTTTAAAAATTGTGTGTGGTGGTGTTTCAAGTATCCTTTCTCAGAATGTGCAAAAGAGAAATATTAACTGAGCTCACAAGAGTAGGTTTTTCATCTAACTTCTGCCTGCACTTTCTTCCCAATAACAGGCACCTAGCTTTCCCATGTTGGAGAAGCAGTCACTTTTGAATGGTTCCTGGATTATCCATCTATTAGTAATGTTTCTCTAAAGACTGCTCAGAATCTGGGGAGACTATCTCTCAGAGGAGTTCTAAATCTCTGCAATAGTTGGTAGTGAAAGAAGCTTTAGAGGCTTGTTTTGATTAATTTGAATTTAAAGAAATAAACTGAAGAGAGGGAAAGAAATGTTATGACCGTTCAGCATTGTACCCCAGGACGTTCCCTGCAGTGTTGCAATTTATATTTTGTTACTTACTGGGGAGGGTAGCAATATATTTCAATGCAAGTCAATCTGAGAGTCAGCGAGAAACAGGCATTTATAAATTTACCAAAAAAAGCAACCGTACAATCACTGTGGAACTTTTCCATGGTTGCTGCATAATTATAGTTGAGGCTTACATTAATACATGTTGTTATTTTGAAAGGTATTGCCAATTTGCTCTAAAGTGACATTACATTAACCATTCTTCACTTCAGAAATGGAATCTCTAGGACATGAAACATGTTGAAAAATCTTCACAGATAAATTTCCAGATGATCTGTGTCTAAAGAAGGTTGGCCAGCAGGGCAAGGGAGGTGGTTGTCCACCCTCTGCCTTCATTTGCAGTACTGTGTACAGATCTGGAGCCCCCAACACAAGAAAGACATAGAACTATAAGAGCAGGTCCAGAGGAGGCCCGTGAAGACCAGAGGACTGCATCACTTCTCGTATGAAAATAGATTGAGGAAGTTAGGCTTGTTTAGCTTCAAAAAGAGGAGGCTCTGAGGAGACCTTGTTACAGCCCTCCAGTATTTGAAGGGGCAGCAGAAACCTGGGGGTTCTCAGGAGAACTTGTTTGATGCAGAACTGTGGGCTTCTCTTAGTTCAAAATAGGAAAGGAGACATTGAAAGGACCTACTTTAATCATATATATTTCAACTGTGTGCTGTATTCAACTGTGTGCATATCAGGAAAAGATATATGGCTGAAGTCTTCAAGCCTCATGCTGGGACCAGGTAGTTGAGAGATCTACTTTGCTCAGTGTTTGTTCCAACAGTCTCAGAACTGTATAACAGTAGTCTCAAATGTACAGTTTTCTAGTCAAGCTTTAAAATAACAGCAGAGAATAAATGACATTGTATAAGACAGTTTAGAATATTTACAAGCACTACCTGAGCTCTCTGACAACATCCAGTCCCTGGAACAGCTCAGTCTCCCTCATGTTATCGATGCATTGCTGTAAGGCATTGCATTCCTCCCAGCTCTTGAGCATATGCTGTGGGACTTGTCTGTGTGATCCAGCTGTGCCTGTGCAAGGCTTGTTTGAGGCCCTTTTTAGCATGCCTTTGGGCCTCCCACTTGCAAGCAGAAGGAACTGTTTTGTACTTCTCCATATGCTTGTATCTCACTGAAGTGCAAACAGACCCTTCTGGGTACCACAGGTATTTGTAATAAGAGACTCGTATTACAGATAGCCATGATGCTGTCACTCTGAGGAACAGTACATTAATCCCTGTTGTGTTTGCCTTTCGTTGTTTGTCTCGTATCTGGAATAAATAACATACTTTCAGCAAGTATGCTTGCTCTGATTTCCCTGCTAAATGCAGAGTATGCAGTTTTTACGAAACTTGTTCTTCACTAGTGCTATGCTAATATTAGTGCTAAAAACTAATCAGCTTTTTCAATTATTTCCTTAATATTTGGAGACTTTGGGACTGACTGGTTATGTTGTTTGGCTGCTTCATCTGTTAATAGATATATTTAGATATCTTTTCTGTTAAATGTAGCTGTCATAGGCAGCTACTCCTACATGATTGGTAAGTTTTATGTGAATTATTTTTTTTCTTGACAATTAGTCTTCAGCAATCACTAGAAATTGTCTTTTTTTTTTTTTTTTTTAAATATGAGCACTGCATGGCATAAAAGTAGTTACACCACCATATTGAATGCATAGAAAAAGTATCATGTTGCACTTGAGGGCTTGAGAGCTCTCCTTTGCATTGATTTCAGGACTGGAAATGTTATTCTGGCTACCTTTTGCTCGAGCTAATCCTCAGAAATTCATTTGTCTGAGCCAAGCCAGTATACTTACATGATTTAAAAAAAAAAAAAAAAAAAAAAAAAAAAAGATTTTTTTTTTTTTAATTTTATCCTTCTCCCCCCATGCTTCCCTAACAGATAAGCTTAGCATGGACACCTGGAGACCATTTTTTCTCTTGTGGCTGTATTGCCCATTACTTTGATTAGGACTTGTTTTGTGATATGAAGTGCTTTCTTTTTCTCCAGAGATTTTCATTGTGATGCCTGAGATAACTCTACAGCATATTCTTAACTCTATTTTGTCTTCGTACTAGCCTTGTCTTGGCTTTTGCCTGTTGTAATGGTTCGTCAGGAGCTAAATGCTGTTATTTCATTTACTGTCGATCTATAAAGGTAGAACGCTGTCTGCATGTTTTGAATTCTTGGCTGTGCCCATTAAGCTTTGTTCTAAGTCAGGTGCATTCTGTTGCCTTGGCGGTAGTGAATTTCAGATCTTCTACTAATCGTTTGAGGATTGGTTAAATTCCAGTCTCCATTCTGATTTAGTTTTTATTCTTGTCATTTTACCCTTGCTTTTGTGTATCCTTTTATCTGTCATGTTTCAAGTGCACTATTTTTTAGGTCAAATGAAGGATTTTTCAGTTTTCATTTATATTAAAATTTAGTAACTTAATGTGCGTTTAACTTATGTGAGCAGTAAAACAACTTCTGATCTCTGCAGTGCACTTGCCTTTATAAGGAACAATCTATCTGTAGACCATTAGATAACAAATAATAAGATTTCTCTGTGTCCAGGTGCTTTCTCTTCTATCTCTAATTGGACTTGGTGGAAAAGATTTATTTGGAAAGAGCATTTAAACCTACTTCTACCTGTTAATTTTGGATGAGCTACAAAGAAGTAGATGAATACAAAGAAGTTGGGTGATGTATTGTTTTCCAGGATAAGA